TCTGTAACTTGCGAGTGCTGTAGACAACACAAATGCTCACAAAACGTTTACAGATTCAAACAGAAGGGACGACACTGACTAGTTGACTAATTTGAATTTCACTTTGTCTCCTTTTGGAAGTCTGAGATGAATAAAATGTCCAGAATGTCATGAATGACCAAAAGGGATGCAGGACAGCAAAGGCTAGGGGATAGTTGGCAGATACAGTCTCTTCCTGTATGACTGAATTAGGTTCAAATGATTACAACTCTCTTAGGTTGGAATATGCCTTTTGTAGAAGAGATGAGTTACAAAGTTTTTCTGTAAAGATAGATTTTTCCAGAGAAACAAATCTGAACAATTTACTCTGAGAATTTAAATGAAAAAATAATCTTATTTCAATGGCAAATTGACTAATATACTTCTTCTTTTTATTATTAATAGAAGAGTTTACACAGAAACTCTGGAAGAAGTTGTGTGAGAGATTCAAAAGGGTCATTAAAGTCTCTAGTAGACATCCACTTTCACATTGTAAAATTGGCTATACCCTCAAAATGGTATCACATAAAAATGGAGTTTCTGAGGCTCTTCTATATGAATGGGTTTTAGTTGCACAGTGGTGCCATTCATTTTATTTGGCCCATTTATTGCCAAGTATGTTCTAAATTTGGCCTTAATTATTTTTCCTTTCACAAAAATATTTTGTGGGATTTTTCTGAGCCCTGACTACTTCCTTCTTGCCCCTTAACACAGAATCCAGGAGCATTATTTTTGTTCTCTACTAATTAAAATAATTGCTTAGTTCCTTTTAACTAGATTCATGCAGTTATTAGCCTAATACATGGATGGGTTCCATAGAGTGCTTGAGAAATAGAATGAAAAGTGATCATGTAGCTTCACATGAAGAAAAATTCCATGGTGCCAAGCAGTATTGTTGCCTTTCAGCAGGCATCTCATAAAGCCCTTTGGTAAACCTGGCCCCTATACCCTTACTAAAAGACTATTAAGTGAAATAATAGCACTTTTTTTCTTTATTAGTTATACAGAAAACTCACTACAATTTGAAGAGGGGTCTTTGATAAACTGGGTCTGGTACAAAGACCTGGAGTCTAGTTTTAATCTCTGCCCTTGCTTTGTCTTTCAGAATAACTGCAGTTGAAGGATAAATGCTCTATGTCCCCTTTGCCACTTGGCCTTTATCAGAGGACAGTGGAGAAGGAGGGATACAAGTGCCTGGCTAGACATAGTAGTCAAGAGTTGTCAGGACCCTGTCTTTAAAAGGAAGTGTTAAAATAATGTTTTTGACATTAAGACTTTTCTCAGAGTTGTTGTAGTCCAAGGGTTTGTCACAAAAAGGCCCAAAGGCTAAATCGGACCTGCCATCTGCTTTCATAAATAAAGACTTATTAGAACTGAGCCGCACCCATTTATTTGTGTGTTGTTGGTTTTGGCTTTTGTGCTGCATTGTGGAGCAGTAGAGACAGTGATTGTGTGGTCCGCAAAGCCTGAACGATTTACTATCTGGTCCTTTACAGAAAATATTCGCTGACCCCCAGTGTGGTCTAGTCAATTCACTGCATATCTACTAAATACCCACTCCATGCTGAGATATCTGTGGGAATTTCTATAGTGGCCCTCATTTGACCAGGACCTTGGTAATGTGCAGTGTTATTGGTGTTCAGTACATGTGTGCAGATAGCAGGAAGTGAGAAGGATTGGGAGCAAGTAAGAAGGATTTGGAACAAGAAGTCATGGTTTGAGAAAAGGTTCTGCCATTATGGTCTCGATGGCAAATAGGAGGTGTGGACACAGCTGGAACTTCTTACCTGAAGGGCACTTTTATTAACTGCTTTCAGGACAAAATATGGGCACCCTTTGCCATCAGTTGGTGGTTGGAAAGGTCAAGTGAGAGAATGTAAGCCCAAGTGTTTTCTAAACCATAAGGTTGCTATTTTGTGGCATAGATATTATCTATTAAGACATTAGAATAAGTGTTGTTTCTACTTGGCATGTGAAAAATGACTCAGATAGCCTACCCAAGATCAAATAGTAATTCAGCAGAAGAGCTGACCCCTGGGTCTCTTGGTTTTAAGGCCCTGCTCTTTCCAGTTTACTACATGCTTTCTACATCATGCTTGTTTCTATGGTTTCAGAAATGCTCAGTTCTTCACTTAATTTCTTCATTCACTCACTATTCAACATTATTTAAGAACCTGTTATGAATTGGAAAAAAAGCTGAATTTTTCAGGGGGAGTGATAACTGCATAAGGACAAGTTGACTCTTAGACCAATTTTGTTCTTGGACCCCTTTAGCTAGAATTCTCTAGAAGTTTACAGGTCCTCCTATTGATTTCCCCCATGCTGTTCAAGGAGTTAAAGAAACAGAGTAGATGGAATGAGAAAGAGAGAGCAGTCCTGCCTCCCAACAAAACATTGCTTGACATGTTGTTTTCTGCAGTGTGTGTGCGTGCAGGAAAAGAAAGAGAAGGAGAGGGACTGAAATGCTGATAGCAGATTGTGCCAACAACTAACGATGGAAACAAACTAGGTTTGGGAGATTAGAAAGTTAAGATTTTAAACATAAAATTCAAGGGAATTCTTTCAGAGAAATTTTCAGATATGAATTGTCCAATGAAATGATGTATATTAAAGGAGCCAGATGTGAAATTACTTTACCATACTGTTAATACAATTTTCATTCAGGCTGTATTTATTCAATGACTTGCCTATAGTTTTTGAAATGATAATTATCAAACGTGCCTGGAGGTAGGAGCTTCTATCAAAATATTGAATTTGCCTTCTCATGGCAGGAGAACTGAAATTCTTAAGTTTCTAACTGTTTTTGGTATGTGCCCTCTTAACAGGGAAATTCACCAATATTTTCTTATCTTCAATTCAACCTCGTTCTCTTCAGGTTTATCTATGAACCTAAAAGTTACGTGCTTTTCTGAAACGAAGGTGCCAATGGAATTGCCACATAAAGAAAACAACCTTCCAGAATCCTCAGTTTTAAAATTGTCCCCTGCAAAGACCTCTGACAGGTCACAGTAGAAAACCCTGCTTTACCCCACAAAGAGGGAAAAACCCTCTTTGTCCCCACATTAGTCGGGCATGGCCCTGTTGCCTGAATTTGGGGGGTGGTGTTGCCTGATTCTGCGGTTTGTCTGCAAAGCTGTGTTACTTCTCAGACATTTCCAGACCCAGGACACTGCTGTTTTAAGAAATATAATTCACTTCAGCACACAAAAAAGCATGCTCACGGAAGGGCTGAGCACTGATGCAGATAACACTTTTCATCTGTAAGAAATTAGTAAGCATTAATTAATTTATTTAACTTTCCTGTATTATAGTGTATATTCTTCCATTTGCTGTGGGAAAACCCTTCTTTTACTAATCCAACTTTTAAGTAGATATTCTACTGAAAAAGTGCTACTACACTGCAAATGTTTTGTAGAGGCAAACAGATTCTTCAACACCGTGGAAAATCCCCCTGAAATAGATGACCTCTGTTTTCATGGTGTGTAGGCCTATTTTTAAGTGACTAAGCATTGCTCTGCAAAAATGTTAAATCTCTTTAGAAACAATAGGAACGGTTATTGTAATACTCCTACTACTGTTATTACTACCACTACTGTGTGCAGTGTTCTCGATAGTTTACACATATTATTTGGGGTTCCCCAGAAAGGAGATCTTGAGAGAAACCTCATGGCTGTCTCTTCAGTGGAGAGTTTGACTCAAGAGTGGGGACTTTGGAGGAACAGTAGTGAGGCTGTGGTGAAAGGAGCAAACACAGGGTATGTTACTGATGTGGTCTCAAGTGGCAGGAATGGAGCTGATTGCCCGGTCCTCTGGACTGTGGAGGCTCAACACAGCCCTACAAAGAAATGTGTACATGTGAATTCCTTAAACTTGTGAATGTTACCTTATATGCCAAAGTCTTTGCAGATGTTATTAGGGTTTTGAGATAGAAAGATTACCCTTGGATTTTTTGGGTAGGTCCTAAATCCAAATGTACATGTTGTTATAAGAAAGAGGCAGAGGCAGATTTGACACAGAGAGGAGGATAGGGCAGTGTGACCATGAAGGCAGTGCCTGGAGTCATGTGGCCACAAGACAAGGCATGTCAGCAGTTACAAGGAGCTGTAGGAGATGAGGAAGGGACCCAGAGCCTATGGAGGGAGGACAGCCCCTGCTGACACCTTGATGTGGACTTGTGATGTTGAATGCAGATGGCTGGCCTCCAGAATTGTAAGATAGCACATTTCTGTGTTTTAAGTCCCCACATTTGTGGCAATTTGTAATAGTAGCCACAAGAAACTAATATAGGAACCATACTCTCAGAGCATAAACTAGTAGGTCTCAGGATATCCTGGGTGGAGGGAGAGGAAGGAAGGGAAAAATAATTTATTTGCCACTTTCAACCTCTGATTTTTCAATGGTTTTCCTGATGAGACATTAATACTCCTTTACTTCCCCTCTAACCTCTGGACAGAGCATGATCAGGCCATGAGTTTTGCTGGAGTGTCTCATGCTTCAGGGTAACAGGAAGCCCTGGGGTGGGAGGGAAGAGATCAGTCAAGAGGATGTGGGAAGAGGCTGCATTGGTTGTGTCCTAGGAAGTCTGTGGTACAGAAACTAGAGTGAAACAGGAGGAGACAGTCCAGAGTAGTGTGGCCAAGTTACCTCCTGAGAGGTGACATGAAACGAGGTCTGAAACAGTGGTCTCCTTGGTCCTCATCCCAGCTCCATGAAGCTGGTATGCTATGATTTCCTCAGCAAACATGCACTCCCTACCCTGGAACACTGTTGGCTCTGGAGCCCACTGGCTCAGGGCTGTGCGTCTGTCTCAAATGCAGTAAGTGAAGTCATGGCCTTCAGCTGGGCCTTCAGACCTGCTATCATAGAGCACTCCATGTTTGGCTTTAGTCTTACTTCCTGATGCACATGAAATAAGGCTCATTTTTACACATGAAATCTCCAAATATTTGAAAATAGTTTTTATTCTTTTTTTCCCCCACCAGGCAAAGCACTCCCTGTTTCCTCAACTTGGGCCTTACAAGGAGTTTCTCTTTGTGGCTGATGGCCATGCCAGTTTCTCCTCTGGACCTGCAGCAGGTGTGTCCCCCTGCCTTACAGGGATGCTCACAGAATGCACCAGAACTCCGGGTATGGTCTGCTTGGGCACACAGGAGACTTGCCTCCTTGGTGCTTATATTGCAAATATAGCCAGTAATTTTACTTAACTTAACGAATGTTATGTTTATTTAATTTAAAATTTTGACAAGTGCATACTTTTTAAAAATTTGTTTTTTCTTTCTTTTTACCGTTGACACTATTGCAGATGCCCTCATTCCCTCCCACCCTGTTTATGCCCCCCCTCCCATCCCCTAACCCCCCTCCCTCTGGCTGTCCCCACACTGTTGCCTGTGCCCATGGTTTATGTGTATATGTTCTTTGTCTAATCCCTTCACCTTCTTTCCACCAGTCCTTCTCCTCAACCCCTTCTGACAACTGTCAGTCTGTTCCATGTATTATTTTTAGTGGTACTAAAAGAATGTTGATTAAAATGCCCTCTTCTTACACTGGGGTACAAATGACTATATGGAAGCATATGTTAATATTAAAGGTGCCCTACGAGCCCCAAACAGCTTGGGGCTCAGTTTGTAAGTGGCATTACCATGTAGCAGAGATCAAAATGCCATCCCATGTCATGGAATGTGGATATATATCCATAGTTTCACGCAAAACTGAGGTCAGCACCCATCAGCCATGCCAGACTGAGGAGAATCCTTACTCAACCTGCCCTACCACTATCTTCCTTCCACAAAACAACCCACCCACCAACCAAACCCAGTTCTGGAGCAATTTCCAGCCTGGTGGAAATGTCTCTGAGTGGAAACATTTCCTCTTATCAGGCAGTACCAATCTGGGCTCTGTTTCCAGTCCAATCCAAGTCTTCTAGGAACTTCTGCAAGAAGAACCATTCCTATGACTAAAGTTCAGTGTGGATGGGTGCTTTACATCCATTATGTCTCATCTTCACAGCAACTCTTCAAGGCAGATATTAGAGTGTTCAGATATAGAAATTAAGGTTCAGTTCAAAGTAACTTTCCTATCACTGTAGAGTAGCAGACCTAATGTTCTGACTCAGGCAGTTCAGACCTTCTGTTCTAGCATGTGGTAGACAAATAATTTTAAAGCTGTAGGAGAGGGGAGGGGTTCTTTGAACCACTGCAGATGGACCAAACCTGAAGCTGAGGCTTCTGGGCTCCCTGAAGGAGCTCAGTAACACACAGTTGGCATGACATAGCTCAGCTTCTGTAGGTTCTCCTTCAGTGATGGGGTCTTTTAATGCCATATATGTTAGGAAATGAGGCTTTTCCACATTCTGGACCAGCCTCCACAGTTCACAAACATGGGCAGTTTGGGTTTTGAGGGTTTTTTTTGACCCATCTATTCACTGAGTGCCTTCTAGGTTTCTTGGGCTAAGGCAGGGTAGGGATGGAAGGACAGCAGCTCTTGCTGTTGGCCATGCAGCCTGTGAGTGGTAGGGGTTTGAACTGAAGGTCTTAAGTGTCTAGTTTGCCGAATCTGGTTTATGCTGAAGTGCTAATAACATTTGAACTTCCTCTGGGCTCTCTACCTACATCCAGATGTTCTCAAACCTGGGTGGGAAAATATTTAATGAAATATTATGCAACATTTAATGTCTAGTTTCTCTTTTCACCTTGACCTCATTCAAGCAAATAGGCCAATGCCTACTCATTGCTTTGGGTGAAGGAAGTGACAGTGATAAATGAGTCTTCCCCTGGTTGTGGCAGATACTTTAGGTTGACACCTCAATCCCCTCTTTAACTCCTTTGTAATTGGCAATTACTTGCAATGGGGGCTAGAAAGCTAAAAGATCACCTTTCCAGACCCCCTTACAAATTGGAGTGAGCATATGCCTCCAGCACTGACCTGTGAAAGTTAGGCCATGGCCTCTTGAAGACACTTCTTTCATATCTAGCTTTTTCTTGCTCAGAAAGCATGCAATGCCTGGGGCACAGCTGCCATTGCTGAATAGTGGCATGGCAGAGGATTGAAAGTGCCTGGTTCCTTGATTGCATCTTTCAGCACTGTGCCAGATTTTTTTGTTGTGTCCCATAATACATTTGTATTTGGTCAAGCCTCTGTTGTTGGGTTTCTGTGATATTTGGCCAAGTGTAAGGCCTACTCAGTATCTTGCTTTGATTTCTATAGCTTTGGAACTTAGGGGAACAGAAAGGCCTTAGGGCCCAGCTAAAGACTTGAGAAAACAAGTCTGTGGGGACATTTTAGTCATGATGGTAAGGGTGTAGAATGAGAAAGATTGGTCTTTGTTCTCTCTCTTTTTTAAAAAGATTGTATTTATTTTACTAGAGAGATTGTATTTATGTATTTTAGAGAGAGGGCAAAGGAGGGAGAAAGGGAAGGAGAGAAGTGTCAATGTGCAAGAGAAACATTGATTGATTTCCTCTCTCAGGTCCCTAGCCAAGGATCTGGCCCACAACTGAGGCATGTACTTTGACCAGGAATTGAACTGGCAACCTTTTGACTTTTGGGATGATGTCCAACCCATTGAGCCACACCAGTCAGGTCTGTCCTTGTTCTCGTGACACCTGGAAAAGGACCATAAAGGTGAAACAAGAGCATGTCCGGTACAGCTTCAGCAAACTGATGCCTGAAGACCAAGTGGCAGGATTGAATAATATCTCAGACCTTGACTGATTAGACACATGACCTCAAGCACTGATGGCCTGTCCCCTACCAAGTCTTACAACTGAAGATCCCCAGAACTTAGCCATGATTTAGGGGAAGGCAAGACCCCCAAGACTGAGTTTCTGCCACCCTTGAAGAATAAAGCTTCTAAGTAGAAATTATAATAAATTATACAATTTTGTATTTTTAATCTACCTGAGTTGTGGACTGAGATTTGTATTAGGATGGGTAGAAGACAGAGAAGTGTTCTTTGATGAGCTGCCCTGGGTCTGGCTTGCCTTCCACTCACAGGGCTTGGGGTGGGGGTGGGGGGTGGAGCCGCTGGAGGTCAATTTCCAGGATCTCAGAGCCAGCCTCTGTGACTGCTCCTTCCTCATTCTCACAATCTGTGAAGTGTACCCCTTCAGTCCCAGGGCTGGGACCTGTGAAGGAGGATTCAGGTTGAAGATTCAGGGAGGATGGGGAGAGGGAGGGTGTTTGCTTCTCTGTGCTCATGGAGAGGCTGAACTCTGCTGTGTTGGAGGGGAGGACTGAGCCAACTGGTGTTTATTTTGGAAAAGACTATAATTAAGCCAAACCACTTCCTGCCTTTTTGAAAGCTCACCACTTTTCTGACTTTCTTTCAGATAAACGCAGTTCCCGTGAGCAGCAGCAGTTACTGGGTATCTCAGAGTGGGCTGTCTGGTTTTGAGTGCCTCTCTAGCACCTAATAACTGGGTGATCTTGGGCAAGTCACTTCAGGTATCTCTGCATTATCTGTAAAAGGGAGCCTGCTTCACAGGATTGTGGGAGGAGGGTAAAGGCCTTGGACTGGCACACAACACATGATCCACATGTGTGTTAGGGTCACTCTGTGCATGGGCCCAGAGACCCTGGTCAGGCTTCCCCACCAACACCATTGTTTATTAGAAGTCAGCGGACACATTACTGTGAAAGAGCTATATCACCACAAACAAATTGACACTTTCCTTTTGACAAGAGCAATGAGCAAAAAGTCTACTTCTATAGTGGGTGGATATTTTTTGCAAAATAGCCTTACTTTTTGCATTTTATTTTGGATAGGGATGTTTGCTTCAACTCATTCCCCTTGTGTTTCCTTGGAAGTCTCATCACTGATCCCTACAGAAGGGAACCTTCTGCTCCACCCCAGTAAGGGCTTTACAAAATTGTTGGATTGTATTACAGGATCAAACTCCCTATCAGAAAGTCAAGTATAGTTGGAATAAACCTTTTAAAGAAAGCTCCAAATTACATCATTTATACAGATACTTTATTTCCTTGACTCAATTCTAATGAATAGTTTTCCCACTGATGACAATGGTTCTCCTACTCCTCATAGTCATCACAGCAGTGGGCCCTACTCTTCCTTGCACCTCCAAGGAAAGGGTTCTCAGTGTTTCACTCTACTGCTTAGAGGAGATGGATTCCAATGAGCTCCTTCCCTTCATTCATTGTGCTGAAGTTATATTTCTAAGGGATAGAGATGAATGCTGTGTACTGCCTATTGTTTTAAATCTTTTTTCACAGACTTTCTCCTTGCAATAGACATTTAATGACACAATGCATTACAAGTTACATCTGTATCAGCGGTTTCCTCTATAGTATTTATGGAGCATGTGTGTGTGCAGGCCTGTGTGCATGTGCTAACTCAGTGATCTCTTGTTATGATCAGTGTGTATTCAACAATAATGAAACAATGGCAGCTTAAACAAAAGACAAGTTCAGATATACATTTTACTGACCAGTTAAGCAAATCACACAGTTGGGAAAAACATCAAATATACAAATTCCATCAAAATGGAAAAGTACAAGGAAACAATATTAACCAAAGGTCTCCACCCTGGATGGCAGACTCTCCATGATCATGGGCAGTTCAGCAAGTTTCTCTTCCAGGTCATTTTCTAATGTTTTTGCTTTTTAGTAGGGTCTGAGGAATAGGACTGACTGCAAATATCTCAGTCCTTGCCCACCACTCTCATCAGAACCTTCATTAATCTTTGAGTTCCTTGCCCCCACTTTACCCAAAGAATAATGCCTTCCCTGGAATTACACAAAAATCAATGGTAGAGTTAATTGAAATTGGGATCTCTTAATGTTTTTCTGTTTCTTAAGTGATTGCTTAGTTTCTGAAATTGAGGTTTAACTCAAACAATAGCTCTAGCTGAGGGTGAGTGAATTGGTAAGGGAGAGAAAATACAGGTAGATAATTTTCCCAGTGACTGAAAGACAGTGTTGAGATTTAGGATTTTATTTCTTTTGAAGTTTTACGTGGGCTTAAGGAATGTGAAGAGTGACCAGGATGTTAAAGCACAGTCCACTGCTCTGTTGTCTGCTTAAAGGGTTGAGCATGCCTTGAAGGTTGGCTTCTTCCCTTTCCTCCCAGAGGCCAGTGAGAGTAAGAGGGAAGAGGGGAACTATAGGAGGCCTTACTGACCACTAGAGGGTGGCCAGCTTCTTTATTTTAATGATTCTCCATCTTTGTGATGATGGAGGTATTCATATCAAAGGTAGTTGAGCCTGTCATTGGCTTAGTACTAGCAGTACTTCTTGTATTCAAGCAGTTTATAACATGCAAAATACACTCTACTCCCATGGATTCTCACATCAATTTTCTGAGACAAACGGGGCTGATGTTTTCATCTCTACTTTGTAGAAGAAGAAATTGAGGCTTTAAAGGGTTGGAATTTGCCCCCAAAATGATGCAACCAGTGATGGGGCAAAGTGTGTACAGGTGTAGGCTTTTAGGGGAAGAGATGGTGGAGAGCCAGCACTCATCTAGATGGAGCTCCTGATGACTGGGTGGGCCAGGCTCATCTTGAGCCAGTGGGAACACACACAGCATTTCTATGGTGCCCTTGGTTAGTGCCAGTCCAGCCATGGGGCACTGAAATGCCAAATGCTGGTTCTGACTCATATTTGTAGCTTCCAAACTATTTAGACAGAGGACTCCAAAAGGCATCTGGTCAAGCTTTGCTAGGGGAGAAAACTTATCCTCTGATTCTTGAAGCCCTGAAGTCAGGGATTTGATTATGCTTATCATGATCTCAGTTTTCATGGCTCCAAATGTGATTAGTTTTCTAATTAGTTAATGTTATTACCTGTCATCAAATCCAGACAACGTTGGTCTCTAAAACCTCCTGTGGTCTAGAAACCTACAACCGCATATCTTTCCACTGTTTAATAACATTTCTTTAATAATCCTGGCCACTATTTTCTCATTCCTAGACCTAGGGAGATATTTTATAAGGCAATTTAAAATTTTTCATTCTGCCTTCCAAAATTTTCTTCACTTCCAATAAAGTATAAATATAATTTTTCCTACAAAAGCATACTTTTCTTCAAAAGTATAAAGGGTATATGATTTGCTGAAAGTATGGAGGGTATATATATATATATATATACACACATACACACACACATATACATATACATACACATATATGTGTATGTATGTATATATGTGTATGTATATGTGACCCTTTTCTTCCCTCTCTCTCTCTCTCTCTCTCTCTCTCTCTCTATATATATATATATATATATATATATACACACACACACACACATATATATATATATATGTATATATATATGACTCTTAGTCTCTTAGTTTTGGGCAGAATGGTCAAAATAAGAAAGAGTTTACTATAGGGAAACATCCCATTAAGGGCCATTTTTACCTTATATGAAGTGCTGCTTGTCTTATTGATTACTTAGTGTTAAATAATGGACAAATGTTTTTCTTTTTCCCTCCTATTTAGTCCTTCCACAGATGCTCTCTGAGTGCTTATCATGTGAAGATACTAGTGACCCAGCAGGGAACAGACTAGCTTAGTACTATCTTCTATGAGCTTATGTTCTAGTAGGGGCAGATAGACAATAAGAAATGAATGTTTAAGAATAAAATATACAGTGCATGGGCTTGACATTTTTCATTTGCCCCTTGGACCCCTCTCTCTCCTTTTGCACCCTGCTATGTGGAGAACCCTGGGGAGGTAGGTCAATATAGGTGGCATCAATGTCTTCTGTCCTGCCTTCAGGGTCTGGCTAGATAGGGAGCCAGAAGATGAGGTGCAGGACAGTGAAGTCAGGGTGCTGCTGCTCCAGTACCTTCTGCCACCCGAGGGTGACTCAGTTGCTTTCCTGTCAGTGTGAATCACCCCTCCCCAGTGTTGCTTCAAGCCTAGGGGTGGTAACTGCTCAGCACAGTTTTGGTTTTCTTAACTCTTAACTACACCTCTGGACAGAGACCCTTTGTTAATCTCCCCGATCCCCTGTGTGAGTGGGTCCTCCGTTTCCTTCTGGGACCCAGACTGCCTTGGTAGGTCAGAAGGTAATGCCAGGGAAAAATGCAATTTTTTTCCATGGCTCATTTTATCACAATACTGCTTGTAGTCACCTGTATGGTTTTGGAATAAATGTCATGAGGCTTCAGGTTGCATTGCTCCCTGTGACTCAATTACTTCTTGGTAAGCTGTGCGATTCACTATCATTATATATCATAAAGCAAGGGCACCTCTCTTGCAGGTTCTCCGAAGGCAGCAATTGTGTTCTGTGATGACTGGCTAACTCTCAGCACTTAATATAGTGGGGGGGGGGGGAGGGGCAACAAAGAACTGCTCATTCATAGACCAGTTCATCAAGCTGCCAGCAGCCTACAAGAAGGTGTCCCAGCACCTCAGTGTGGTCTCTGAGACTCTTCCCATCCAGCTCTGCCTTCTGCCCTTGCTCTGTGCTCACAGGACCACTTGTATGTCTCCAGACCCCATTTTATTCCTCCATGACAAAGTCCATTCAGGAATCCTCTCAGAAGCCTTAGTTAGCTTCATCAGCTTGAAGGAGGGGGGCTTTACCTTTTTTTCTAAAGGTTAAATTTAAATTTTTTTATTTTCCTAATTATAAAAAAATGCATATTGACTATAGGGAACATAAAATCCAGAAGTTAAAAAAATTCATCTAACTTTTGTCCTTTAGCACCATGAACATTTTGGATGTAGTCAGGGGGCTTTATCTTTGGGGGAAGCATTGTCAAGCCACCTCTGTTGACCGGCTCCTTTTTGCTTTCTAAAGAACTTTCATAGATTCTTGGACTCTTGCACACTGCCTGGACTGTCAATTAAGCCAAAGCAAGTATTTTCCTTGCCTGCTTTTAAGCTTATTGCTTAGGTTTGGAGTGAATCTGCGTTCTGAGCTTTGCAGCTCACAGCAGCTCCTCTTCATGGCCTGGAGTGCACCCCATTTGTGGGTGGTTTATATACTTATCACTTTCTTTCTGGGAGCCGCTGATGGATGCCATCCGGTCAAGAGGCTTTGCTCCTCTGTTCAAGGTATGTAGCCCACTCCAAGATTTCCCCCCTAGAGACTTCAGTATATGTTAAGTCCATGCTAGGGTTTCCTCTGCAAAAAGCCTTCAAAATATAAAGTTCCCCATTCTCTTTATGATGATAGTGATGCAGAAAAAAACAACATGTAACAGTTTTGTTACCTGATGGCATTTATTAGTTAGCTCCCCTCAGAAACAGCACTGAGAGATACATGTGGATTTCAGTCATACTCCAGGGAAATTTGGCAACAAAAGCCCCTGAGTAGATACTGTTCATATGTACATTTTTTCTCTGTAATAAATAAATAAGGATAATAGTCTTTATTTAATAATGCACTCAGGAATCATTCAGTGTAAGTTTAAGTTTACAACTCTAAGTTTCTAGCAGCCTATTAAAAAAAAAAGAAAACACCAGTCTGGCTAAGAAATATCCTCAGGAAACCAGCCTGGAAGAACAGCGGGTGAAACATGAATGAGCTATTTAGCTTTTCTTGGTAAATGGTAAAAGTCTCAGAGGAATGGAAGGCTAAGCATTCCCCAGATTTTTGTCAGGCACATGTGCCAGTCCACAAAGTGCTGGAACTCCAAACACAGAATCTGGATTGATTTCAGTTTCAGTCATTCAGGCGTTTGTGGCATGGAGCACACACCACCCAGAAGGCAGCATCCTGAGTTACCAGAAGTTCCAGTGTGTAATTTTAGGCAACACTTTCAGCTTCTTCTACATAGGAATAGTAAGTTAGTCATTCAGTTCACATAAGCAGATTTTTTTTTACTATTTAAAAAAGAAATCCTGACCCAATCAATGTTTGGGACTAATCAACTGAATTAATTTATTTTTCAGGGTCATGTAGTTCTAGCTTTAAGCTACTGATATCTCCATTTCAATAACTCAGTGGAGTGTTAGTTGAATGGATATCATGTTATGACACTGTATCAGATGTTATGAGCTGTGGGGACACAACATGGTATTTACTACTTTCAGGGAGCTTGCAATCCAGCCAATGAGACTGGACAAATACTTATGAAGCAATCAATTCAGTTGCTAACCTGGGATTGTGTTGAGGACACCAAAGAGATCTGCCTGTCTATTTCCTCACTTCACGTTAGAGCAGCAGGCACTCTGGAAATTGCTTTTTGCATGTTCTTCTTACACAGTGAGAGAAAAACTGAACATGAAAGTTTAGATGCAAAACCAAAAATGCATCTGAGTGTTTCTGTGCTTCACAGCCAACAGGAAGGACTGGGCATGTTGGTGTCTTGGTGCTCAGGTTGGCTGCAGTGACTGTCCCCTGAGGCCCTGCCATCCCCCTCTAGCCTCCATGAGCTCTGCAGGATGGTGGGGATCCTAGGTGAGAGGTCTTCCTCTTTCCATGAAAGACAGAGTCTCCACACAGGCTCCCCTACCCTGGGACAGGTCTCAGAAAATTGTCTACTAAGAGAGGTGTCTAGAAACACGTGGCAGGTGGCCAGTTTTCCCCAAATCAATTTTCATTTGTTCTCTGGACATGAAGCCAATTAGCTAGAGACTACTTCTCAACCGTCCTTTCAGAACATAGACTAAAGTACTGCCTATGAAATGTGAGCAGAGTGATATGTGCAACTTCTATTTCTTATCCTAACTGGAAACCCCTCTTCCTAGACTTCCTATGGGGTGGAACCTGGATGTGCTGGTAACTCCATTAAACCAAGCAGATGAGCACCACCCAGGAGAATAGAGGAGCAACCACAGAGGGAGAATCTGCGCCTCTTCTTCACTGTGTGCTACTGGACATAGTAGCCTGGAATGTGCAACTCCAGAGTGTTGTATAAAAGAAAGAAATTCAATTTTTTGAGCCACTGTATTTTGGGATCTGTTTAATAGAAGAGTGGAGGTTCTTATCCTGAATAATACAGAACATTCCTGAATTGGGAAGTAGAGCACTGGTTTCAAGTCAATATCAAGTCAGTATTCCTTCATTCTTTCCTACTTTTCTTCCTTTCACACATTAAAAAAATCCTCATCCAAGGATATGCTTATTGATTGTTAGAGGGAGAGGAAGGGAAGTAGGGAGGGACAAAGAGAGAGAAACATCGATGTGAGAGACAAATATTGATCCATTGGTTCCTGTATGTGCCCCAACAGAGATCGAACCCACAACCCAGGCACATGTCCTGTCCAGTGACTGAACCCACAACCTTTTGGTATATGGGATAACACTCCAACCAACTGAGCAGCCACATGGCCAGGGTCTTCCACACATTTTTTATTGAGCACCAACTCTAAGCAGTGTGAAAGTTGCTAGTGATGGTAAACTAAAGAGTCATAGCCCTATTCTCCTGAAGCCTACATTCTAGTAGGGGAGAGAGACAAAAGCAAGTAGATAGATGTATTTAAAACACCTACAGATTGGAGTATGTGTTGTGAAGAGCATAAACTTGGGGCTGGAATAGAAATAGATGAACCAGAGAAAGCTACTTTAGATAGGGGTTAGGGGAAGGAGAAGCCTCTATGTGAAGGTGGTATTTCAGCCGAACTCTTAAGGAAGACAAGGAGCCAGGTGTGCATAGATTGGGGCATCCATTCTGAGCAAAGGGGAGCATATACAAAGGCCCTGGGACAAGGGAGAACTTCATGAGCACACGGAACTGAAGATAAGAATGAAGAGCAAAGGGAGGCACAATAGGAGACTGGCAATGTGGTTGGTGGGAGGCTGGTCTTGTTGTTTTTACTTTCAGTGCCCTAGGAACCTATTGAAGATTAACGAGGCGTTGTGTGTGTGTATAATTCACTTGAGTATTGTTTAAGATCACTTTTACTGCTTTATGGAGAAAGAACTGTGAAAAGGTAACAGTTTCTACAGTTTTCATAGACTACAGTAGTCCTGGCAGTAGGAGTTGGGAAAGAGTATTAAAAAGTCACAGAAGAATTTCTCTAATCACATAATATTTGAATTCAGTTAAAAATAATAAGTGTAAGTCAGTAGTTTTAAGAGTTAAGTTGGAAGAGGTTTTCTTAGGTACCAGCAGGATGCTGTCCAGTTCCAAGCAGGTTGGGAAATGTTGGTTGAGAGTTAGCAGTGACGTCATCCAGTCAACACTTGGAGTTTTCGATTGTGGGTGAGGCTGTTGAAAAGGGGTCTCCCCAGACACACAAAACGCTGTCATTTCTGTGGGTTGTGGGAGTTGTGACAGGGTTTGGGCAAGCCTCTAAGGAGGCTGGCCTTTGGAATTTCTACCTCTGGTTTAGAGATAGTGAAGAAGGAAATGGAAATATTTTAATTTATAAAACTTCCCAAACCACTAAAGCAACCTATTATTTTCTGAAGCAAATGAAGTCCATATTTAAGAGCCACACTTTCCTTCATATATTAATTTTTGTAAGTCAGATTTTGTGTCTTACAGAGCAATATCCTGGCTCCTTTTGAAGTAATTATTAACAAGCAAGTTATTTCAGGATGGAAACAATACAGTTTTCAGACTTAGAGATGTCAGTGTAGTTATTATTGGGCTTTCTGTCTAAGGTTTTATTTTCCCTCAGCTTTATTGAGATGTAATTCACATATAACACTGTGAAAATTTAGATGTACAATGTGTGAACTTGATACACATACACTGCAAATTTCTGAGGTTTTTAACACTCTTCAGAACTAGGATATTTCTCTCTGTTTTTTTTTAACAGAGAAGAAGAGATAATAGAGGTTTGAAATAGTCTGAGTTGAGTGAGTGTATTGTTAGACTCCCTTTTGTTGGGTTAATTTTTTGCATATCTAAGGAATCTAACAAGGAGTCTAAGTTTCAGCTTTTGCACATCAGGAAATGGTTAGTGTGCCCCAGTTTTGCCTTACAGACACGCTGAGGATGAAAATCTGCTTTTTTCTTTTCTTCTCTCTGCCCTTCCTGCCCATCTCTCACCCCGAAGGTTGGATCTCATCCCAAAGGATTCCCTGGGAATCAGGGCATGCTTGATTGCCCCTGGAGAATGGCCGCCCATCAGCACAGCTGCTCCCTGGAGTCAGCCTGGGAGCCAGGCTCTCCCCAGGGCAGTAGAAGGGAAGAGGGGAGAGTAGGGTCACCCACGGCTAGATTTCCTATGGTTTTCTTGTGTGTGCTTTTTTACTCTGCTCCAAAAAAGAGTGCCTGAAAGAGGCCTGGGGAGTCCCATTAAAGGTACTGGCCTACAGCCAAAGCCTGACTTCTCCCGGTTGTGGCCATGGGAGCTCCACGTTCTGGGTCTCCATTTCTGTCCAGTTGAAACTGACAGGGAAGGTTAATGAGATTTAAAATGGCCAAATATTACAGCTTTAGAAAAAGAGGAAGCCAGAGATATGCTGTCCACTGCTGAAATACTGGCAAGGCCATTCTAGTTGGGGGCACTTCATTCATCTCTTTTCTAGAAAAACTTGTCTGTTTTTAGTAGACCATTCCAAATAGCATGTGATCAGGGCTAGTCTTAGGAGCAGCCGCTTGGTCAAGTGCCTGTTGAGTCGACAGATGAATAAGTGAATGTCCTATTTTGTTTTGCTTCCGATTTTTCACCAGCTTGGTCCAATACTTGCCCCCTTTCCAAATATATGGTGATTAATATTTCCTTTTAATATTAACAGGTCTTTTTAGTCAGAAAAAAGTCTGGTTTATGATAAAATGTGGTAAAATGAAGAAACTGTGGAGTACAAAAACTAAGCCCTATATCAAGCTTAAAGATGAAATATCTCTTTCTTTGGAAGTTTTCTAAATAAAATATTGCTGAGAAAAGTGGAGAAGATGGAAATGTTTGTGTGTGTGCATGTGTGTTTATGCATATTTTAAAAGGTTATATAAGCAGAAGGAATTTAGGTAAATCTATAAAGTCACCACAATTTATGACAGTTTAAAAGGCAATTTCTTTTTAAGGGAAAATTTCTAATTTCTCACATACAAGTATGGGAATGCCATGGTAAATCCTTCTCTTATCGACAAGACCCCTGGAAAAAGGTATGAAAAAGAGTTACTGTTCCTTTTCCATTCATGTCTCTTGAAAGCCTGTGGCTGTGAAACTGTCCTGGAACACACAGTCCTGGGTTTCAAAGCAGCCCAGATGACTTTTCAGAAATGATCTATTGTGATGCTTTGTTTTGTCTGGGTCACCCTCATTTTGTTGTACTGGGGCTGTATCACCCTTCTCCCGTGGCCATTAATCCACCCTGTCTACTCCTCCCCATTCAGAGGCACATTTTTACCCTCTGCCCAGCAAAGGGAGCCTGGAATGAAATAGCTGTTAGGCTCATCGTTAATACAAAGAGAGGGGCCAGGGAGAAAACAGAAGAGGGACCGGGAGTGCTGGGTGTACAGCCTCACCTGGGTGGTGGGCACTTGGGAAGAAAAGAACAAGGAGTGGGGAGGGAGGGGAGCAAGCAATGGGAATAGGCTTTATCCTTTGTTGGGTCCCAGGGCAAGTTGGAAAGAAACCCTTTCTTATACTTTAGCTGTCTGGCTGAGCTGCTCTGTGTGGCACTGGGATCACCAGCTTGTGTCACCTGCAGATGAGCCCTCCCTTATTTTTCAGTTTTGACTCTATTCATTCTTTCCAGTTGGGCATCTAGGCTCCTTGTGATTTCAGGGTGGTCAGCTGGAATTAAGCGGCAAACTGTCAGTGAGCTGTAAAAACAGAAAATTAAATCCAAAATCTGTTGTTTGGTTAGTAACTCAAATTTGGTTTGCATTCTTATGTTCTCTTGGAAATCTCATTATGTTCAGTTATATTTTAAATGGGGAAAACTCTGTTTTATACATCACACTCAGTTTTAACAGTGAAAAGGGACTGTCCAGAAGTCCTAAAAGGTCCTGTGATATACTGGGTTATAGAATGCTAACACCTCCCAAATAGTAGCAGCTTGATATTCTTGCCTGTTGTTCTCACTGCACACCCAGTGAGGACAGTAGGGCCTTTGTCATTATGATTGGTCAGAAACCCAGGGCAAGGGAGGGTTGCTCTCTACTGTGCATTCATGTCTGAGTAGGCAGAAGAAGGTCCCTCTGAAGGCTCTCACACTGGCAATAAAATATCTGGACCATGCGATGCTTCCCCTAAAAACTAGTCAGTCCGATGGCTGTGCCTGACTCTGGTGTCCAGGAGGAAGAGAAGATTCAGCTATCTGCCAGGAAATATTCTGCACATGTTCTCAGGGAGAAGCTGAGGGCTGCACACACATACATGCATACACACATGCACACAAACATGTATATGTGCATACTGACACACAAGCAGGGCCCCAAAATGTTTTGAACTGAATAACAAAAGTCAGGAATTAAATATGTTGAGCACAGTATGATTAGTTCTAGCCCCTATCCTCATTTGAACTGTGTGTGTGGCTTTAAGCAAATTACCTAACTTTCTGGGCCTCCATCATCAATAAAGTGAGTCAATGGGTCTAGATAGATTCTTCCTAAAATTGAGTGGGTTTAGATCACTGAGAGGACTTTAAAAAACGTTAATTGCAGGCACTCACCCCCAGAGATGCAGTAGGCTTGGGGTTGGGCCCACAGCTTTGCATTTCTAACAAGTTCTCAGGGGATGCTGATGCTGCTGATCCAGGGATCACAGTGTTACCAATCAACATGTTGGGGAGGGTCCCAGATACTGTTACCGAAACAACGCCCCTCCCAAACTATGGCTCTTCTGGCTTGCCTCCAGGTGTTAGGAATTGGGGCTTTCAATGCTAGAGTTTGGTGAAGGAGAACTATTTATTTAAAAGTTATACAGGTTTAGAGTAATGGCGAAATGTCGCCATTAATTCTCAAAGTCTCTAAAACACCCACAAACACACACAGAGTCCTGCCTCCCCTTGCTAAACCAGGTCAGTCAGGGGTACTGCATCTCAGGAAAAGAAATAGAAGTCTGTAGCTCAGCTAGACTCCCAGTTCCTCCCAGAAATCCATGCTCAGCTGGACAGGTCTCCTGCAGTCTTCAGCACCATCAGCTGTGCAGCCTGAGGTCTTCAGTTCTTAATTCAAAACCATGTGGCACTTT